AGAAAATAGCTTGACCCCACTCCTCTCTTAGCAGCTTCTCAAATCGAAGACTACCTGTATTTAAACTTTAAATGGGCCAAACTATTCCCAAAGTCTGTGTGTCTTCGTCACTAAACAATGACACAAAACTAGATTCCTTGGTGAGGAGTGTAAATTATTAGCGCAAAGATGTTGTCCTTTCTTGACACAATTTCATCGGGATCAGTGAGCATTAACTGTTTTCTGTTAGCTTATCGTCTATTGCTGCTCTAACCCTTTGAAGAAAATATAAACTTCCATCCAACGTCTTTAAAATTAGACTCTTCCACTCTGAAACTTGCTGGCAGCAATAATTACGGTACCAGCCAGGAACGGTCAGCATCCTACTAGACAGATAAAAGGAAAGTAATATATTGAAGACTGTGTGCTTCTAAAAAGCCTCTTCTGGGAATTCAGTGCACAACAACTGAATATCTACCTAAGAGAAAACAGGATATCTTTGCTTTGATCTCCAAGGTCACAGAAAAAAAGCTGTGTAAAGCCATCCATCTCCAGCTGAGAAGGTCCTTGTAGTACAATCCTTAAATAATTTCATGTCACACACCACCACCACCACCCCTTGGTCCAGTTTAAGAGAAGCAAGAAAAGTTTCCAAGACGGGAGAAAATGTTTATAACCCAGTCCTTCTACCCTTAACTTTGCCTGGATTTAGGCCACTCTGAAAATTGATGGAAATATATATTTCAGGAAAATGACATTTCTTACAGAGGTGCATTTATAATACAGGCTAAGCAAATAAAAAGGACATGTTTTTCCTGACTGGATTGTGTGGGTTTTTCTGATGCATATACAATTTCTCAGGTGTATGGGCACAAAGCAGTGGTGGGATTCAAAAAATTTTTACTACCACTTCTGTCGGCGTGGCTTGGTGGCCGGGGCAACTTCTGGTTGGCCCTGCCCCCATCTATTCTCTGCCTCCCGAGTCCCAGCTGATCGGCTGGGTCTTCTTTTGTTGCCCTGCACAGGAGAATGGAGCTGGAAAGCAGGTTACTGGGGTGGGGAGGGAATGGGGATTTTACAGTATCTTTCCCCTGCCACACCCACCAAGCTGGTAGTAAAAACAAATTCAATACCACCACTGAATAAAGTTCTACAGGACATGGGCCCCTGTCATTTGAAGGACTACCTACCTCCTGTGGTTTCTGCCCAGCTGGTAAGAACCCATGGAGTAGGTGTGCTCCAACAAACAAACACACCTTTCAGGACCCATAAAGCAAGACTTCTCTCTCATGGCCCCCTCCCTCCAGGATGAGGCCCAAATAGTCACTGAACCAGGTGGTTGGCAAGCAAACTCTGCCTGTACCGTTTCTATATTCTGTTTTATATAATGAACTGCTTAGAGATATTCTGGAGTCAGGCAATGGCAAAATGGAAGTAAATAAATTTCTACTAGAGGCTATAGTATGCTTTTAAAGAGGACTGAGGCACAGGAATAAGGACGTTAACAAAACATAGTATAGGAACAGGAGTGGCAGAAACTGAGGGCGGAATTAAAAGAGGGATCAGCCTAGAATCCTTACGTAGCCACAAACAGGACTAAAAGTCCAACCTCCCCTGAATTCCACTGACCCTTATCTAATTCCAGGCAGGTTCTACCATTAGTTGAGAAGATTCCTGTGCATAGGCTGTTTAGCAATACATCAGTTTAATTCATGGCCTTGCATGTCTGAGCCCCACATAGGTGATAGCAATCAGATGGTGTTGAAAATAAGCAAGGAGAGGCTTGATCAGGGTACTCAAACACTACTAGGACATTCCAAAAATTAACACTGGGGTCTCAATCAAAAATGACCAAAGTAGGCATTTAGCAAAACTGTTTGTTGCCTAGTATGTCTACGTATTGACCAGAGATCAAGACAATATGTCTAAGATAATGTATACAGGTTAAGACTTTTTCTTTTTATGGAATAATACACCATCAATAAAATATTTGTTCCCTGCAGTGCATTTATGTTTCTATACAGAAAGGAAATTCAAACTATTTGATTAACACCTTTCTTGATACTGTTAATGTAGGAAAGACTTAAAACCAAACAGCAACATTAGACAAGGAACAGTATAATAATGGACTAGTAATTGTCCCCAAAGAAGTTCCAGATTGGGATGAGAGAGATTATCTTCACCTCTGGAATATTTGTAGATGTCCCAACACTATAATAAAGACCCCTATCACAACTCTTTGGTCTTGTACCTCTTATTATTTTTCTTAGGTCTTCCATCTTGTTTTTACAGAGATATAAACATAACAACTACTTTGAAGCTTACAGACAAATGGGCTTCATCCAACCCTTTGATCTTTTAAAACAGACAAACTAGATCATGGTCTGCTGTTGCTATATCCTCAAAGGCAGCTTGATACAGGAGCATGAAGAAGGACCCAACAGATACCATAAATCAAGTCTTGATGCTCAGAGGACAAAGTTTGCAAACATTAGAAGGTTACATGATTCAGCCACAACACCCAAGATCATGGTGGGAGCTAATGCCTTTAGTCTTTATTATAATGGTGCTCTTATTTATGACAGTGAAAAGCAATCATCCCATATGAAAAAAAGAATGACATGTAGCCATTCAGCCTGAGTCATCACTAGTCCTCATCAGAATAGAAAAATAAGATCTGAATCAAATAGATTACCAACTCTATTTCCCGCTCTCCCCCCAATTCAGCTGGGTTTCATTTGCTCTTTCTACCTCAAAAGGATATCAAAAATTACACAAAAACAGACTGACTCCACCCTCCAGGACAATTCAGAAACAGCTCAGAGGAAATTTCAGATGTAACAGCCACAATGCTACCCTAGGACACTTCTTATTAATATTTTCTTTTCCTTTCATTGTCTAACTTTCACTTCCACTTAGATAAATAGGCCTAGCTGATTTAATCTTTATTTGACTCAGACTGTTTGTTATTACATCCAAAGTCGTTCCTCAAGCATGCACATTTGATCAACACCAAAAAGCGTCCTACGTTCTACCAACCTGGACAACTAGATTGATTTTTATTATATTCCACAAATTGGCGATTTCAAATATGCCTGTCATCACTTACAGCTAAAGCTAACCTGATTGGCTCTGCAACAAACACGAACTATCTTAGACTTTAATGAAATATTAATAAATGGTAGATGAAGGCAATACTGAGATAAAAGTCCATATCTCAATGTTATCTCATACCTGTCTCCACTCTTGCCAGAGGCTATAAATTCTTTGGGGGCTTGGTTTCTTTTTTTTCCCCCGCACACCCTTTGCAAAATAACATTTCTCACCATGATTACCTCAAGTCCAATACAGAGAAGCACAAGTGAAATCTTAATTTAATAGACCAAATTGGATAGTTCATTATTTCCGATAGCCTATTACGATGGAGACCAAGTGTCGGCCTCCAAGAATCCTTCTTCTGCTTGTCTTTCCGGCTGCCATAGAAACAGGGGGGGGAGAATAATTGGGCTCCAGTCGGGGGAAGGGTGCTGGAGGTTTAAGTTGGTGAAATGTAAAAGTTGGGATGTTTTCTTCACTATGCTTACTTCACAGATGTAGCCTCTTATCTCTCTAGGCCAAGACCAAACGTCTTGGCATACCAGATGTGTGAAATGCCACCTGAAGATGCACCCACATGGCATTATACACACCTCAGATTGGATGGCCAGTTTGAACTATCGGGGGTGGGAACATGGGATAACTTTCTATATGTGATTTTTGCGCCTATTGCTTCAGATCTTGTATTTCTTCTGGTGCTACCACTTCAATTTCCAGTAAAAGTCCTTTTCTCTATAACAATGGAGTCCATGGTTTTCTTTCTTGGATTTTGAATGGAGCTTCAACTGAAACCAAGTTTATTCCCAGTGATGGGATTATGCCAATGATGCCAAGATTACACAGATCACCTAACAGCAACAAGAATTTTGCCCAACGCATCAAGGTCTGGGAAACCAAAATTGTACCAAAACTGTCCCAGAAACCTAGTTTAGTTTAGTTTATTGCCATTGCACCTCGCACAACAAAATCAAACAGCATCTTGAGTGCACATCATGACCATGAAAATAAACACACACATCGTTCATCCTCCACACATTGAACCGAAAACCCCCGACACCACACCAACACTGCACTATACAGCAGAATTCAAAAAAAGCTACTGCCCTGGGATAGAAGCTGTTTTTCAGCCTATTTGTCCTTGTTTTTATTATTCTGTACCGTCTGCCAGATGGTAATAGTTTTTTTTTTAAAAAAGGTGCCCAGGATGAGATGGATCTTTGAGAATGTTTTGAACTTTCTTAAGGCAGTGGGAGCTATAAAGCTCTTCCAAAGAGGGGAGAGGGCAATGACATTAACCCAATGACGTTGAGTCCTAGCACTTACCCAAAAGCTTGGAAGAATAAACCTCTGGTCCCAGGGACCAATTCAGATTGGATCCCTCAATCACGTTCGTAACCCAAGGTCTACTTGTATAAGAAAAGCATGCCAAACAAGGGACACACTTAATGCTCGATCAATACATTAGAAATTATCTGAAAGTAATGGAATTCCTGCTTTTCCTTCTCTATTTCCCCAAGCCATTGTTTTGAATCACTGGAGAGCTAAGATTCAATGCCAACATAAACCTTTTAGTTAACTGAAATTTGCCAAATTATACACGAGGATTGGCCCTGTTTAGTCATTCCCACTAACAGTAAAAGGTTATAAAAATGTCGAAGCCAGGGGGTTAGGAACTCACACAGACTTGGAAAATATTCTAAGAGTGTTGACACCCCCTTATCTCCCCAATGGCTCGCCCTTTTTATCTTAAGTATCACAAGGAGAAACGTAACCCACGTTTTCAGCTAATGTGTGTGTTTTTAATGTGCCGGGATAAAAAAAATAAATAAGAGTTATGTGAAGCAGAAAGGAGAGGAAAATCGTACGTGCAGTTGTGCTTTATTTTATTTCTCTTTCTTGAGAAGGATCAAGGTCAATTAAGACACGTGTGAATGAATTTTAATGCAACTGGTGTTAAACCACTGTAATAACAAGGTCAGTCTGTTGACCAGGAATCCAATGTTTCTATTGAAACTCTTGAGGGAGCATATGTGCCAAAGTCACCATTGCCTCTGCGGGCCTTCAAAGTCATGGAAAGCTCCTCAGGAAACACCCAAAGTCCCTGAGATGACAACCAAATGTCCTTTAAGGTCTGTGCTTCTTTATCGTGAGTGTGTCAGTTTGTCCTGGTGGAATGTGCCACTGCTTCTGGAAGAAGTGGACAATATACCAAACACACAAATGTGAGTGTCAAAATGTGTTCAGGGTTCTTCCTTGCTAAGCCAGGCCCATCTTTATTCAGGTGAATTAAACACAGAAACAGCTTATTGAGGTAAATATCTGAACTCTTTGTCTTTCTTTTTACCAAGATTCTCAAGTCTTAAATTTTGGAGGACCAGGGCTGTGTTTTAAACTGTTTAGTTGTGTTAAATCTGTTAAAAATGTTACACTAGGCCAGGGGTCTTCAAACTTGACAGCTTTAAGACTTGTGGACTTCAACTCCCAGAATTCCTCCTCCAGTCATGCTAGCTCAAGAATTCTGGGAGTTGACGTCCACAAGTCTTAAACTTGCCAAGTTTGAAGACCCTTGCGCTAGGCAACTCAGATCAGAAGGGGAGAAGGCTCAAAGGGAAAGACAAGAGACTGTCAGGCCTGGGCAGAAATCCAGATTTGAAGTGTGTGATTCAGAGCACACACAGGTGTGTACTCAACAACTTATGCCAAATGTATCTTTTTCCAAAAATTGTGACATAGATGTAGAGAGCAGGCCTTTGATTCCAGGAAAAGATGTGACTGCTTTAAAGCAATCTAGACAGATTGCTTTTTGCATCCAGAATCATGTTTTCTTTTTAATTAACATCCCACCTTTATTAGTTTTATAAATAACTCAAGGCAGGAAATATACCTAATACTCCTCTCTCTTTTGAATTTATATGTCTGTGCAACCCTAATGGGGAAAAAAAGAAAGGTGTAAGGCAGTGATCCCCAACCTTTTTTATGCCGCGGCCCGGTACCGGCATCAGCTGGGCACCGCGGCCCGGTACCGGCATCAGCTGGGCGCCGCCATCTTTTTTTGATGAAAAAGAGCTTCTACCTGGAAAAGCTCACCGGAAGCACTTTTTCATCAAAAAAAGATGGCGGCGCCCAGCAAACCAGCGGCCCGGTAGGACTTGTTCCACGGACCGGTACCGGTCCGCGGACGGGTGGTTGGGGACCCCTGGTGTAAGGCATTTTGTTTTTCAAACTCAAACAGAAAGGGTTAAGATTACAAAGAAGGAATAAACAAATCACATAGTTTCGTTGGTTCCAAGCACTTCTTGCATTTAAACAGATAATTTAAAAAAAATGTCTTGAAAGAGCCAAATTGTTGTCCTCCTTTGCTCAGAAGACTTTCAATGATTCCTCAGCCTCCTTAACATTCTGCCAGTGAAGGCAATGTACTTTAAAGTTTAAATGGCCATAAAGTAAATTCTAAACTAGAAACACAATAAAACTCACACACATACCTCCCAGACTCACATATTTAAAGCCCCGAACTCATTATTGCAGGACTCTGCCTAGAAATAGGCACTTTTTATGATTCAGTCCACAAACATTTACTGTAATCATGTTCTCACATGCACCTAATCAGGGTACAATAATTCCTTAGCAAGATGTTTGCTCTATCATATCTTTTAAGAAGCTGGGTTCAGATGGTCTCCACCCCATGAGAGAATCAAGCTTGATAACTCCCATAGTTGCCCCAATGCTAAAATAATTCTTTCTCCTGCTTATTCTAACACCATGTAAGGGCAGCCTTAATATGTACACAGTCTCCACTGCATTGATCACTGACATTGGGTATGTCTAGTTTAATGAAAAGAAGGACTAGGGTTGACATGATAGCAGTGTTCCAATATTTGAAGGGCTGCCACAATGAAGAGGGGGTCAAGCTTTTCTCCAAAGCACCTGAAGGCAGGACAAGAGGCAATGGATGGGAACTAATCAAGGAGAGAACCAACCTAGAACTAAGGAGAAATTTCCTGACAGTTGCCTTCAGAAGTTTTGGGTGCTCCATCACTGGAGGATTTTAATAAGATTTTAGACAGCCATTTGTCTGGAATGGTATATAGCAGGGGTCTTTAAACTTGACAGCTTTAAGACTTGTGGACTTCAACTCCCAGAATTCCTCCTCCAGTCATGTTACTCAGGAATTCTGGGAGTTGAAGTCCACAAGTCTTAAAGTTGCCAAGTTTGAAGACCCTTGATATATAGGGTCTCCTGGTTGAGCAAGGGGTTGAACTAGACAACCTCCAAAATCCCTTCCAACTCTGTTATTCTGTAACAAAATACAACACTGTCCTATACAAGGTCCTAGGCTTTGCCACCCATGATTATGAAAGCAGGTGAGGTAGCCACAAAATAAGACCACAGAAGAAGATTAGGGATCAGGAATGGGGAAGCAAAGTTCATGATGGAATAGGTTTCAAGGACGGAATGAGAAGACTTCAACTCACCAATGAGGAACAGTTGTAGGGGAATTGTCAGTACTTGTTGTTAGTCTACAGGAGTTGCACAACCAAGTTATTTTCGGGAATATCTGAAATTACAGATCGGATTCTTGAAAACGCTGTGGGGGATATTTTACTGCACAGGGTATACAGATACTGCTTATGGGGCAGTGGCCACACCTGGAAGGGTGGAGGAAATAAAACCTCTCTCTCTCTCTCTCTCTCTCTCTCTCTCTCTCTCTCTCTTCCCCAAGGGAAGAAGATGCCAAGATATAGCAGTTCCCAAGGCCTGTTCCATCAACACAGAAAAGGGATCCACCTACTGATATTCTCACTCTTTCACAAGAGTGCACATTCTAGTATCACCCATTAATTAGGGCAAACAACATGGGATAAATGAAGAGGTGAGGATTTTCTCCTTCGTTCGGTCACCCAACCCAACAAGTACATGTTTTTTCTGTCTATTTTTTCCCCCTTTAATTTGTAATAAAGCAACTACCGCTCGACTAAGGTTAAGTGCAGATGTAGTTAAACAAGTTTTTCAAGTTCAAAATCAATCTCGAATGCCCTCTCGCAGCTGTCTCCCACACAACAGTTTTTAGAAAAAGCTGTAAGAAAAAGAAGATAACAGAATCTACATGGAAAGGGACTATGTTTCAAGATGAAAATTTAAGAAGCTGAAATGTGTTCTGAAAGTAATACAAATATGTAACCTTTAAAATATGTTTACTTATATATATACCTGGGGGGAATAAGTGTGGCTATAAATTCTAAAAGTGATTTTTTTAGAATCATTTTAGTTTAGGTGCCAACATGTTTTTTTTAAACAAAAAGTCGGATTTCATTCTTCTGGATTTCTGAAAAATTATCCAAGAAAAACTAATGTGTAAAGTGAAAGGTCAAAGGTGTCCCTGTGGATTTTACACCGCTAGTTGTTTCTATCATTTTCATTTCAAGGTCATTCAGCCAGTGCTGTTTGAAGACGTTTCTGTGGTCATGTACCTTCCCACCAAAGTGGTACCCATTTATCCACTTGCATGCTTTCGAACTGCTAGGTTGCCACGAGTTGGGGCAAGGACGGGAGCTCACCCGTTGCATGGCACTTGGATCTCAAACCCGCACTGCTGGCTTTCCAGCCAACAAGTCCAGCGTCTTATCCACCGAGTCACCGCACTGCCCTTAAGGTGTAAAGTACTACTTTCAAAACTTGTAATATTCTCACCTAATCAGTTTTATCTAACTCTTATCTCTGTTTCTCTAATATTTGAAGCTGGAAAAATAAGACTATTTTCCCAGCTTCAGACATTAGAGATAAAAATAATTACTGTAAATTAAAAAGTATATTCAACTTTATCAACTATTCAGTGGTGAAATCTCAAAATACTTATTCCTTAAGACTGGAAAGCTTGATGGGAAAGCTATGTGGGTTTCCTGAGGCCCCATAAGACCAGGGGCTCCTCTAACTTTTGCCCCCTCCCCTGGCTTGTTCAGTTCTCAACACACACACATACAACATCTGTATTACATGCAAATTTCAAAGTCAAAAGGAGATTAACCATAAATTGTGAAATTATGAAAGGTGATAATCTACAATATCGATACTACATAATTAAAAAAGTCACTTTTCCACTTACATCATTTGAGCCCAAAATTTCTATTACTAAGCCAGGCAGTTGTTAAGTGAGTTTTGCCACATTTTACAACCATTTTTGCCATGGTTGTTAAGCAAGTAATGCAGTTGTTAAGTGAATTATGCAATCATCAAGCAAATCTGGTTTCCCCCAGTGACTTTATCAGAAGATGGCTGGGAAGATTTTTTTTCCATAATGCAATGTCTTCTAGAATCAAACAACAGTCCCTATTTTCTCTGGGAATGTAAATCACCATATCGCATGAAACCACAATTATTAAGGAGACTTTCTTTCAGCTCAGTGAGAGTCACACTCTTTTTTTAAAAAAAAAAACAATTCCAAGAGATCCCTCTTCCTCCAAATTAAATTCCTGCTAATTAGTTTTGCTAATTAGTCATAGCCCAGTCTCATTAAGTGGAATCTGCGGAAATATATCCTCAGGAATAAGAAATCCAGAGTAGGAAATGATTGAAACATTCTATATAGTAATTAAATGAATCAATCATCTGTCAATCTTTATTCCAGGAATCATTGGGAAAGTAAAACCAGCTGAGAGGAAAATTTGCCCTGAAGTTAAAATATTAAAAAGTTTATTTTTCATTAAAGTGAAGACATTTGTTCTCCTCAGCATTCTTTATTGCTGTCCTGCAAATGGAGATGGAGGGAGAAGGGAGGAAATAGAAAAATAACCTGAAGTCAGCAAACTTATTACATCTTTGGTGGGTACGAGTTAAGATTAGGCTGTGAAAAACCCTCAGCTGACTCTGGAGGAGTCAGTTTGTGGTTAGCTGAACGCATCATTTTTCATCCATTCTCACCCTAGGAACATTTCAATCTCATTTCAAACCTTTGTTCACTTGCACACCCAGATGCTTTCCTCACTAAACGTGCCAATGTGTCATCCCCAGGCTGCACACATATGGTGGCTTCACGTTTTACGAAAAATAAAGGCAGTTTTCAGATGTGCCTAAGCTCCACGTCATTACATGTGGATCCATCAATGTGGGAACATCAATTAAAAAAGAGCCACACACACATACCTTAAAAACCCCAGGAATAATTTTCAGAGATCTGAGCATGAAGTCTTCATAATGAAGCCAGAAAATTCTTTAAAATGTTTGTTCTAAACAGCAACGTTCACTCGGTTTCCTCCTTTCTGTCAGCAGAAAGTTTTTAAAAGTAAACTCAGCCTTCCTTTTTGCACAAAACGCCCCTCTCCTTTAGTTACTGTTTTTTTTTACCATCTGTGAACAAAGCTCTCTCTTTTTAAGGCCTAATCTGTCCTTATCAGACATGAAAGGCTTTTTTTCTTCCAACAACAAAAATATTCATGCATTTCCCTCAAGCAATTTTTCTGAATTCAAAACCCCGGCATCTGACTTTCAGCATTTGCATTCAGGAAGGAAGATAGAGCTTATTGTACTGGTATCTGATGTTTTTCTCTCTCTCTTTCACTATATAGAACTGAAGTTTTTACGAACATGCCGAATTACAACTTCAATCGAGGTATACTGTATAAATGGACTTTGCAAAATCTTGCAATCTCTTTCAACTTAAACACAACCTAACACTTCCTCAACTCTATGTAAACACCAGGCTAACAACTGGAACCTTTTTCTTCCAAGGACATAAGGTTATCTTCAAGGTAGGACCACAATTGAGTCCAACGTTTCTGTTGCTAAGCAAGACAGCTGCTCCATTTTACGACCTTTCTTGGCACAGCTGCTAACTGAATCTCTGCAATTAAGTTAGTAACACGGTTACTAAGGGAATCTGTTTTCCTCAATGACTTTGCTTGTCAGAAGGTCGCAAAAGGTGATCACTTGATCACAAGACATTGCAACCATCATTAAGTACACGCCAGTTGCCAGGCGTCCAAATTTTGATCACGTGACTGTGGGGATGCTGCCAGTGGTCGTAAGTGTGAAAACAGTCATAAGTCTCTTTTTTCAATGCCGGTGTAACTTCGAACAGCCACTAAATGAACTGTTGTGAGTCAAAGGTTATCTTATCTTTAAAGAACAGAAGCTACCAAGCCTAAATACAACTTTTTATAGCTCAGTTCTTCCATAGTACATGGAAAAGACAGAGAAGGAAATCCAGTTTTAATATTGCACGTACAAAGTACGAGACAGAATGATGTTACAACTTGCTTAGAGCAAAAACAGGATCCAACCTGGTTTTTCCTCATGTAAAATGCTTTCAAGAGGCCGACCTACAGACACCAAAAACATTTATTTCCTGAGAGTAAGAACAATTCATCAGTGGAAGGATTTGCTTCCAGAAGTTGTGGGGGCTCCAACATTGGAAGTTTCTGACATAGTACAGTCTCTTGCCTGAGCAGGGGGTTGGACTAGAAGACCTCTAAGGTTCCTTTCAACTTCATTGTCCCAAAGGTGCTTTTCTTCAAGAAGCAACTGGACTTTCTGGTTTTTCTTTTGAAGATGTTTCGCTTCTCATCCAAGAAGCTTCTTCAGCTCTGACTGAAAACCTTTGGGACAACCATGTCCTGGATGACTGAGAATCTGAGGGGGTTGGACTAGAAGACCTCCAAAATCCCTTCCAACCCTATGATTCTATGATTCTCTAGACTTCCAACCTTATTATTCTTCCAGGCCAACTTGACTTTCACCCCCTTCCAAAGCCACGGTCTCCATTTGTGGCCTTCCTCGGCTTGGGGGAAAAACACACACACACACTAGCAGCTCTTATCCACCCATCCGGAGGAGAAACCATATCCAAACAATACTCTTTTTTTCCCCTTCCACTTTTCCAAATGTCAGGCAGGACAACCTTTTAAGAGGAAGTTTTCATTACAAACTACAGATAACCGAGTTGAAAAAAAGTCCGGAAAGGCTGCCCTGAAGAGGAAAATCAGAAGGAAGCCTGCTGAAAAGAAAAGTTATTTTACATTCTTTTTTCTTGTTAAAGGAGGGAGGGAGAAGGAAGGCAAGGCAAAGAACTCCATCTTTACGGGATCCTTGACAACTTCTGGCAGGCAAAAAAAAAAAAGAGAGAGAGAGAGAAAGATAGAGGCCACACTTTCTTAAGAGCCATTTGCTAAGATTCACTTCTTTTTATGCATTTTTATGCATGCCAAGAACTTTGTATTACTTTTACTGCATTGAGGATTCCACATGCTTTAGCCGATAAAAACAAAAGTTAGAAAGGCAGGGACATAAACAGGATAAATGTTAAAATGGAAATCTGTTTAAGATGGACAAGCCAATTATTATTATTATTAATTATTATTATTATTATTTACAGTATTCATGTTATTGTGATGAATGTTATTTTAATTACGATGGCCTAAAAACAATTGTATCCAGACAACGCACTGTTGAATTGAATTTTGAATTTTTATATGTTATAAAAATATATAGTTTATATGTTATATATAGTTTATATGTTATATATTATATATTCAAATAAAATAAATAAAACTTCAGGGTGGGGGGGCGGGAAGGATTCAGCATGCCGGATGAGGAATTGTGGTTAAAGTTGCCAAGTTTGGAAAAAAAAAAAAAAGGTCCAAGAGGGCCAGTTAGGGAAGGGGAATGAACTAGCCATTACGCAGTGGGAAGGGGCTTTTGCCCCCCTCCCACCATTAGAAAGTGATACTCTCTGAGTATCTTTCGTGATACTCCATGAACTTTTTTTGGGGGGGGATAGGGATGCTGAAATAGGGGTGGTTTCCTGATAGAGCATGTGTGGGGGGCCAACCCCCATAGGGAAGGCTTGTATAGAGGGGGGAGGAAGATGGAGAAGCCTGAGCGGGGGGGGGGGGACACCCAACTTTTGGGGCAAGCAAAAACAAGTAGCCCCCCCCCACTTTGGGGGAGAATGAGACACCCCCCCCGGCCCTAGGGGGGGCGCCCCTCGTGCCCTTCCCCAAGGTGAGCGTGGGGGCGTGGTGAGGGGGCGTGGCCACGGGTCCCCCGTTTTTCCTTTTCTCTTCCCCCCTCCCCTTGCCCGTACCTGCCGGGAAGGGGCGCCGCTCCCGCCGCTGCAGCCGCCGCTTCCCCGGCTCGCCTTCAGTTTGACCTTTTCCGCGTCTCTCCCGCTCCCCCCCTCGTCCCCGGCTCGCTGACGTCACCCTCCCTAGCAACCAATCCGCGCTTTCCCCACCCCCCCACCCCGCCTTCTCCTCCTCCTCTTCGCTTTCCCCGCCTCCTCTCCCTCCCCCCCCAACCCCCACCGCAAAAGCGCTCGCGCTCTCTCGCGCACCGCCCAAGAAGAAGGAGGAGGAGCGAAGTTATGCAAAAAAAAAAAAAAACTGGCGGGCGGCGCCCAATCAGCGAGGCCGGATGCCTCACGCGCCCTGAGGAGGGGAGGGGAGGGGGGAGAGAGAGGGGCGGCGCGAGCGGAGGGGCAGGACGGGGCACGCCCTTCTCCGAAGGGGCGGAGGGAGGGAGGGGGAAAAAAAAACACTTTAGAACGGATGGTTTGCGCATGCGCGCGGCTGACCACTTTCGTGACAAGAACTTCTTAACTTTCGTCTCTTTTATACTTTTTTTTACCCTTAAAGAGATATAAAAACACCTCCAATGGTTGCTTCCAGTGCATTTTTCTTTTTCTAGGTTATATTACCGGGCATGCGTGCCCATCTGCATGCCAAAGTTTTCAAAGTTGGGCAGCTCCTCAGAAAAAGAATCAGAATAGAGCTTGGAAGGGACCTTGGAGGTCATCTAGTCCAACCTCCTGCTCAAGCAGGAGACCCTATAAGTACCATTTCAGACAAGTGGCTGTCTAGGATTTTCTTAAAAACCTCCAGGGATGAAGCACCCACAACTTGTCCTCACATGTTGGGAAGATTCTCCTTAATTCCAGAAGTGTAAGCAGTTGTCGACTTATGACCACAATAAAATTGCTAAGTGAGAGAGTTGTTTGGTGAATTTTGCCCCGTTTTATGACCCTTCTTGCCACGGTTGTTAAGTGAATCACTGCAGCTGCCAAGTTAGTAACGTGAATCTGGTTTCCCCATGGACCCATCAACAGTAGAGACCTTCAAATTTCTAGGTTCTATTATATCACATGACCTAAAATGGACACCTAACATCAAAAACGTCATCAAAAAAGCACAGTAAAGTATGTTCTTTCTGCGCCAACTCAGAAAGCTCAAAAACTGCCCAGGAGCTGCTGGTACAGTTCTACAGAGGAATTATTGAGTCTGTCATCTGCACCTCTATAACTGTCTGGTTTGGTTCTGCAACCCAACTAGACAGACAGAGACTTCAGAGAGTAATTAGGACTGCAGAAAAAACAATTACTACCAACCTGCCTTCCATCGAGGACCTGTATACTGCATGAGTCAAAAAGATGGCTGTGAAAATATTTACAGACCCCTCACATCCTGGACATAAACTGTTTCAACTCCTTCCCTCAAAACGACGCTATAGAGCCCTGCACACCAGAACAACTGGGCACAAGGACAGTTTTATCCCAAATGCCATCACTCTGCTAAACAAATAATTCCCTCAACCCTGTTCAACTATTTACAAAGTCTGCACTACTATTACTACTAATCTTCTCATCACTCCTTATCACCCATCCCCTCCCACTTGTGACTGTAGGACTGTAACTTTGTTGCTTGTATCCTTACAATTTATATTGACTGTTTCCTAGTATGATTTGATTGCTTATTGTACCCTATGACTATTATGAAGTGTTGTACCTGATGATTCTTGACTCTTGATGAATGTATCTTTTCTTTTATGTACACTGAGAGCATTTGCACCAAGACAAATTCCTTGTGTGTCCAATCACACTTGGCCAATAAAGAGTTCTATTCTATTCTCTTCTATTCTATTCTCTTCTCTTCTATTCTCTTCTATTCTATTCTATTCTATTCTACATTATCTTCCCTTCCATATTCTATTCTATTCTATTTCTATTTCTATTCTATTTCTATTCTGTTCTATTTCTATTCTATTTCTATTCCTTTCTATTTCTATTTCTATTTCTATTCTATTTTACTATGGAACTTTGCTCATCAGAAAGTCACAAAAATGGGATCACATGACCCCCTGGATGCTGCAACCGTCATAAATGTGAGACAGATGCAAAGCATCTGAATTTCGATCAGGAAACCATGGGGGATGCTGCAACAGTCATAAAGTGTGAAAAACGGGCAAAAGTCACCTTTTCAAAAGCGTCCTTGCAACTCTGAATGGACACTAACAGAACTGTTGTAAATTGAGGACTGCCTATATTAGAATAATTGGAATAATTATATTAGAATAATATTGGAATAATCTTCGCCTTTGCTGCTTTAATTGTGGGAAATGGATAACGACTCATGGACTTTAAAGAGGGGTCTTTTAAAAAGAGCAAGGGCAACGATTACAGACTTTGGAGAGGAATTAGAATTGGCAGGATGCCCATTTTGCATTTTTATTCCCCATTTACAAACAGCTGCTTTTCTGAGGCAGGGGAGTCGGACTAGAAGGCCTCTTAATGTCCCTTCCAGCCCTGCAATTCTTCAATTACAGATAGTGTTCTGAGTATTGTAGCGTAAATTCAGTGCCAGAAAAGTAAACCCAGAAGACTGAGGCTTCATTTAACTTCTTTATAAACATATAAAGTAAATTTTACAATACCAGTTGTAAATTTCTCCAACATGGAGCAAACAGAAACAGACATCAGTTTCACTTTAGTTCAGCAGGCAAGCAGAGGAGAGAAGCAGTTTCATTTTCAATAGAGAGACTCAGAGCTTAACATAGCTTCAGAGCTACACAGCTTAATATAAAGCCATGCCTAGGCTACTTCTAGTTTCAGTTTCCAGCCTAGGCTACTTCTAGTTTCAGTTTCCAGCTTAGGCTACTTCTAGTTTCAGTTTCCAAAACAGTCCTCATTGGCTGATTTAGTTGCCATGCTTATTCATTGGCTGATCTTGTTACCATGCTCTATTCCAGTTCATGAACATACTCTGACAGATAGTCCTTGCATTACGACCACAATTGAGCCCAAACTTTCTGTTGCTATGCAAGACAGTCATGAGCTTTGCCCCATTTTACAACTGTCTTGTCGTGGTTGTTAAGTGAATCCCTGCAGTTACGAAGTTAGCAAGCGGGTTGTAAAGTGAATCTGGTTTCCCCAGAAGGTTGCAAAAGGGGATCACATGACCCCAAGACATTGCAACCGTCATAAATATGAGCCAGGGATCAAGAGTCCATATTTTGAACACATGACTGGAGGGATGCTACTGTCAGGCCTCTGGCACTTAACCCCATTTAAATCATGAGTCTCTAGCCAACTTCCAGAACTTAAAAAGGATTTATTGGGAGTTAGCATGCCGGTGCTACCTGGGTGTAGCCAACTCTGAGGCACATAATTCATTGTCACCCTTGATCCTGGTTTTCTCTCACCCTCTGGGTGTGTCATAATTCATATTCTACAATGGGACACATCCATAGCCAAGAGTCATCAATCATCCTGTCATGACTCCAAGGTGGTTTCTGTAGAGCTGCGACAACTGAGTCTGTGTTCCTACCATACAGTGGTCGTTAGTCTCCTGCGGGGCTGGCTGCGCAATCCTGTGGGTGTGAGATCATTTTCATACAGTGCCTGGACTGATTCTCTCTGTGGCCGGCGTTTTCCCCATAGCGCAAGATGCTGATTGCAGATGGACGCAGGTTGATGACGTCAATTGCCTGAATAATGACTGCGGCGGAATGTGGCTTGCTGAGTGAAGCGATATGAACCGTGGAGGAATTGTCGGGTGTTGTGGGTGGTGTGTGGTGCTGGTGACGGTGATACTGATGTTATTTGAATAAGAGTGAAAGCCTGTAAATTTGACGGTAAACGGTAACATGTTTACGAGAGTACCCTGGTTTAATGATTATTCTGGATGGTGATAAAGCAGCAGCGGCCGGATGTTGGCTGCATCGATTAATTAATTAGATAATATGTTACATGCATAAATACAGCTCTGGCTGCAGATAAAGCGAGAGCTGACTTTAAACTATTATGCTTCGTTGTTACCTGATGTTTTGGCATGGAAGGAAAATAAAAGCTCACTACTTGTCCAGCATGAGTGGTCGTTTCATCGCATTAAATCTGGAAGAACAGCTGAGACATGCTCTCCAGTTAGAATTTTGCACGGCAGAAACTTCAGTCACCTAGTTACTATCTTTGAAAACATTTATGGAATGCAAGCTGCCCACTGTTCCCCCCTCCCTTTCTGTTGGAAAAGACCATAGAAATATTTTATGAGTTGAGATTTGCAATGATCGTAAGTGTGAAAAATAGTCAAAAGTCTCTCTTTTTTTTCAGTACCATTGTAATTTTAAACAGTCACCAAACAAACGATTGTAAGACAAGGACTACCTGTGTGTTAACCATCTGAGGTTTGCAAATATTGTAAATTAACCTGAAAAAGGCTGGGGGAAGTGTTAGAAACTCTTGGAAGAAATATCCATCTGATTCAGTTCCAAGCTTGGAGAAAGACACTGGAAACATGGAGGCTGATTGGAAAGATGAAGCAGAACCACTTGGGTTCGAGGTCCTGAGTAGCTGACCGCATGGAGTGGAGAGTGAGGGGTTTTTATACCTTCTCTTGGGCTTTGCACTTGAGCTTCCTATTCCTGTGCAAGAACATGTATTACATTGGCTGCTGTCGGGGGTCATAGCTGGCTCTATAGGTTGTCTGAGCTCTCAGGTTTGGTTGAAGTTTGGACTCTGATGCAATGTCCTTAGGAGACTGTGCAATGTAATGAGCTCTGCTGCTGGATATGTTAATCCTATTATGTCCTGAAGGGTCATGTCTTAATCCCTTCACCCTGGAACTGAAGGTCTTTTCTTTTGTAGATAGGCTGACCCAGTCCTTCTCAATGGGCACCAAAATATCTGCTGGGAGCTATTAAGAAAGGTGGGGGCTGCTTTCTGTCTCCAAGAGCATGTTTCTCCATTTCTCACCCAGGATAATTTAATAGTCTGCCTTTTTAATATTTCTCAAAATATTTCATTCTTCTAGGAGAGGGATCTTCCGTCCAAACCAAACATCCTTTTTTCTTTTCCTCTTTGTGTGTGTGTGTGTGTGTGTGTGTGTGTGTGTGTGTTTAAACTGCTGTCACATTTGC